TCCATTGTAGTTCCTTGTTTTGGTTTCACCAACTATATACTAAGGATTTTATAAGGTATCCCCAAACGGGAACTAGAATGGAGGAGACTACCGGTAATATGAACATATTCCCTATACACATCCTCACTTAACACCACAGACCAAAGGCAGCCCCAAGCCGAGACATCCAAAACCCCGAACCTCGGATCCGACTTGCCTGAAACACCCAAACTCTAGAACCCTACTTAAAGGATCATGGGACTTGATAAGTAAGGTTTAGGGTTTAGGGTTTAGGGTTTAGGGTTTAGGGTTTGGGAGGATCATGGGGCTTAGTAAGTAAGGTTATAAGTCCCTTAATTGGGGTTATAAGTATAGTTACCCTAATTATAACCCTACCTACTAAGTCCCATGATCCTTTAAGTAATCTCGGGGCCTTACTGATTTTAATAAGGTCTTGGAGGTTCCTTATTATACTTATGGCATAATATACCCACAAACCCTATTTTGCTCGTGAAGAGATAACCCTCGTCTTTCCTAACCTCTCTACTGTTCCAACATCGCCCAGTCTCAACCCTAAACAATCCCAAAGCTATTCAGGGCTTCAGGGTTTCTGTCAGACTTGATGCTGCTCTTGTCCAGAGTGTAAGTTTTCTTGTCTTCACATCATGAGTGTAATGTCCTTGGTGGCGTTGTTGTTTCGTTGTCGGCGTTTTGCTTATTGTCGGAGGTTCTGGGATTTGGCGATAGTCGTTTCTCTTGGCGGCGAAAATCAACGCCGACGGATTCTCCAGGTATTAATCCCTAAGCCCCGATAGCCCCTAGAGAGCCCAAACCCCCGAAACTACTGGAGGGGCCTTCATAATCATTAGAATGGGGTTCCGGGGGCTCCATATTATAATTATGGTATACCATACCTCCAAACCCAATTCTTTATTAAGGCCCCTAAAGTACCAGAACTCCAAGCACCAATGAACCCCTTTCAACCCCTGAGCTTTCGGGGCGAAGGCATCCGAGCCACCGTCCCTGACCGCAGCCCGTCATGGTCGCGTTGAAGCTGACGATATCGGCCTGGATAAAAGAAGCTTTGGGGTTTGGGGGTTTAGGGTATTGGAGTTGAGGGTTTAGGGAATCAGGGTTTAGAGAATTAAGGTTTATGGTGTTTGGGATTTAGGGTTTGGGGGTCAAGGGTTTGCAATTGAGGATTCACGTTTATAGAGTCAAGGCCTATGACGGAAAGGAACTCTGCTGTTGGATTGAGGATTTTGCTCGCGTAGTTTGCGGGCAGTTCCGGTAGGAAATTTTCCTAAACCCTAAACCCTAAACCCTAAACCCCTAAACCCTAAACCCTAAACCGTTTCAGCCATCCTTCGTTTGTTGGGGCCTGACCCGGTCTGGCATTTTGGTAGCACTACATGTTTGGGCCGATGTGAGCTCTGGCCGTGCGGGGAAGTCCACGCAGATCGAGCTCCCAAACCAATCGGTCCTAATAAACCCTCTCCCGCTCCTTAACCAAAGAGAAGCCAGATCCAAAAGTCGGCATGATTCGGTTTTACCCTACACCCTGAGCCCTAGGGTTCAACCCCTCAACACCTAGGGACCCTGACTCCTGAATCCCTTGGCTCTGGGCGCCTGCTACAAAAAGAGTCAGAATGATTAGGGTTTAGGGTTTAGGGCTTAGGGTTTAGGGGGTTTAGGGTTTAGGGTTTTAGGGGGTTTAGGGTTTAGGGTTTGCTCCCCCCAAAAACTACACCCCAAACCCGAGTCTGTTCCTCAAGGCGCCTAAAGCCTGACCACTCTCACGCCTGCCTCCGGCAAACGGCCAAAGAGGTCCAAAGCTAACGGCCACTGCCTGATCTTGACAGACTGGTTTCAAGGATGATTCTTCACAAAATTCGAAAACCGCGGTGCTGATAACTAATTCCGGGCCTTGATAACTGATATAAGATGTTGCAGCATACTAGCGTTGCAGTAGACTTGTGTAGATGCTAGAAGGAGGCATTCACACCTCTATGTTAACACCAGTCCATCGCATTATGGGTACACCTGTCGTATATGTACCAGTTTTGGCCGAGACAGTTTCAATGGAATACGCACCAAAACCCTCAATGAAAGATCATTCCCCATGTGTTCTTAACATGTCTAGCCTGCTGGACCAACCGACACCAAACCGTTTCCAAACTTTCATGCCGTCGCAGGATTGTGAGTTCTTACACCCTGTGCCAAAAACCTATGTTAATCTGTCCATCGAGACTCGCAAATACGATTTGCATAGGTACTTGATATTCATGGCATCAAGTCCAACAACAACTCGCCCCTACACCCCTTAAGCCCTAAACCCTGAAGGTTAAACCTAAAACCCAACAACAACACGCAGCTCCCTGGCTTCAAAGCCTTGAGAAGTCCATCCGCAGGATCTGCTTAAGACTTAGCCTGGTGGCTGACTTCGGCTGACCGCCGAAATTGTCGCATTGTACGCCACCTTTGTTGCTTTCAAGGCTCCTAGACTTCGGGGGTTAAAAGGTTCGGGGGCTGTCCCTTCAGCCCTACACCCTCCTCCAGCCTGCAGAGAAGGTGAGCAAGCCACAATTGTAGGGGCAACGGTTCTTGATAATTACCCCTAGTAGAACTATGTGAAGGAACCCGAAGGATGACTATTGGTAATCATTCAGGCCCCTGTTTTAGTAACTATCTCATTACGACAGCAACTCGGGCTTAGGCCCTTTCAGCTGCGAAGCCCTTCCCGACTCTAAGCCGTCCCATCGAACTGAAGGGCCTTGATAAGTTTCCATAGCGCTTTGGAGAAAATCTAGATAACTAGTATAATTCATATCGGGCCTTTATAACTAGAATAGGGTTTTAGATTGTATTGTGCTTACTTCCAGAAGGATCCCGCAACATTATATTGGTAATTATTGAGGCCCTATATTACACAGAGTCCGACAGACATGTACGCGCCGTGTATCCGAGCATCTCCAACGCCCTACATAACCAATGCGACACTGCTCTGTCGGACACCGAAACGGACACTGAAAGCTCCACCCCCCCCGCCCCCAAGCACGCAGGCTCAGGCAAGTGTTTCGGGCTCAAGTGCTGTAGGGCTGGGGCTTAGGAATTAAACAATAACTACCAAGGTACATCTCAGCCCCCACAACACACACCACGACAGATCGTCTTCGTTTTAAGGAACTTGCGATGAAGTACCATCTCCAAGACATGTGTATATATATATATAT